AACTAAGAGCAGAAATGAACAGAAACAGGAAAGAATTCAGTAAGAGCTAATTGTTCTCAGGAAAGAAATTGACTCTCAGACTTTACCAATAAAGGAAAATTCATCAGGGTCTCCAGGCAAATGATCAAATTACTTTCAAGGGTGAGAACAAGCTGGCATCCAACTTCCAAAGGGGAAATACAAGTCAAGACAAACAGAAATATACTTGTAGCAGGAGCGATGCACACACCCTCTCAGTAAATGTCGGCCTGAGGACTCACTGTGGGTGAGGATTAAGTGAAAGTGTGAATCACTCAGTTGTGTCTGACTCGTTGCGACCCCGTTGAACCTGGGTCAAAACACCACAGTTCAAAATCATCAATCATCAGTTGCAGGCAGATTCCTTACCATCTGAGCCACCAGGGAAGCCCCAGTTTTTATTAACTCCTTGTTTTAAACCGCAGACCGTGTTTTCCCCTTTCTCTTTCTGTGCAGTGGCTTCCGTGCCGGGTCGCATGGAGGACACTTGGTGGGAGCCCTGGTCTCCGCCATCGCCCTCTGAATTGTCCCCGTCCCCCTTCCTGTGCTGAAGCCCTCGTACTGGACTTGATGTATTTGGCCAACGCCTCTGGGGCCTTCCAGGGGGTGAAAGTGAAGTGGGGTAGGGCTGGGCCCCTTAGAAGAGGGCAGGTCCCCAGAGACCTGCCCCCACGTGTGCAGAGAAGAGGGTGTGACGGGAACGCTGCCATCCACAAGCCGCCATGGGGGCCCCCGCCAGACACCAGCCTCTTAGCACCCTGACCTCAGGCTTCCGGCCTGCTTCTGTACCGCGTTCAGCGGCTTCTGTGTTATGGCAGCCCAAGCAGACATCCTAGAACCTTCTATCGGGAGGTCCAGCTGAGGCAGACGGCCCTGCTCCCCCGAGCTCTGGCCAGACAGGTCTGGGGGGAAGGCCAGGCACTCCCCAGGCACCTTGCATGTGTTGGAGCGCAGCCTCTGAACATCCCCCTGTTCGTCTTTCTGGACCCGCCTTAGACAGGCCCTCCTCTCGAGGGTGGGCCTTACTCCTACAGGCTTTCTGGTGGCCCGGTGGGGTCAGCAGGGTCTCTCTTCTCTGGCTGGCTGGGCCTCACCAGTCCCTCAGCTGTGCTCAGAAGCCCTGTGATCCTGCTCTGCACGTGGGCAGGGGGAGGACACCCACCCACATTCTCTGCCCTGCCCCAGCCATAGAAGGAGGGTGTGGTCACACATTGCAGCCGTGGGGGTGCCCCCAGGCACTGAGGAGGGCCAGGCTGACCAGACATGGAGCCAGCAGGGGCCGCGCTAGGGCAGCTGTGGCCGAGAGGGCCTGACCTAACGCCCATGGATTTGAGCTCAGGCCAGCAGGGAGCCAGGCGAAGATAGATAGGCGGCAGCCGTGGTCACCTTCCACCTGGGAGGAGCTCGGCTCGGGGCCAGCCTGGGGCTGCCGCGGGCTCTCGGGGACCAGAGGAGAGACCAGGGGGCCCAGGGCAGCCCAGCCCGCAGGCGCTGAGCAGCACGGGCCGGCGGAAGGGATACGGAGACAGCGGGAGCCGGCCTGCCCGCAGTCGTCTCAGCCACAGCGGGAGAAGCCCACCCAGGGGCGGGTGACCCCCCTAGTCAGGGTGAATCCAGACCTCCCGAGAGCCAGGTCTGCTGCGATGTGGAGGGCAGTCACGGGACACACACCCCACCAGCCCGCCTGCCACCCCTCGCCCTCCAGGAAAGACGGGACCATGGGTTCGGCTGTGGAGTTTATTCGGGCGGAGCACATGCCGGTGGCCCCCCAGGGCTGGAAGCACCCCGGTGAGGGGCGGGGGCTCCCCTAGGTCAGCTCCTGCGACATGGAAGGGCAGGGCCTCAGGGTGCCGCCCTCATCCGAGGGCCCAGGCCAGGAGTGTGAGTCCTAGCTGAGTGGCCTGGCCCTCAGTTTCTCTACCTGTAAAGTGGGGTCACAGTCCCGTCTCTCGGGGCTGTTGAGACAGAGGGGGCCATGCAGCTGAAGGGTTAGCACGGTGGGGGGCCCGGGAGCCCGACACAGGGTCCACAGGGCCTGTGCCCCCCAGGCAGGACCCTGCTGGGTGGAAACCGGAAGAGGCCAACCTGCCCTGCCCCGCCCGCCCCAGCCTCCAGGGCCCCCTCCTGGCGTCAATACCCTGGAGGCCCCAGGAGCTAGAGTGAACCCGGACTCCCGTCAGGCTGGGACTCAGCCCGGGTGGAGACTCGCCTCTCTCAGGAGCTTGGCGCACCTCCCGCAGGCTGGGCCAGCGTGCGGGGCTGCGCGGGGGGTGAGCACCCGGGCCCCTCTCAGCCCAGGCTTTGCAGCCACAGGAGGGGCTGGCCCAGGACAGGAGATGCTCACAGGCCCCGACCCTCCGGAAGCCCCGCCTCCGCCTGCCCCGGAGTCAGCCCCCCCACCTCTGGGACCCCAGCCTCCTCTTCCAGCTGTGACAGGGAGGCCTGGGGACCCAGCCCCAACCTTGGGGCAGGGAAGGGGACTCACCACCTAGAACAGCAGGTTCACACAGGTCACTATGGAGAAGAGATGGTGGGGAAGTGGGGAGATGGTTCCTAGGAAGGGGGCCCCCCCGGCCTCCCGGCCCGACACTCACAGTCCTTGGTGAGCAGCTGCACATCCGAGACCGACAGCCCCTGCTCCACGGCCTTCTCCATGAACTTTTCTGTGGCCTTCTCATTGTGATCCAGGGTCCGGGCTGCGAGGAAGGGGGCGCGGCTGGCTGGGGCCTCCAGGGACGCCCTCCCTGCCCAGCCAGTCCCCGCTCCGCCCAGCCCACCCCGGGCCCCCACCGTCTGCCCCCAGGCTCCCCGCGGGCCTGGCAGGGGCGGGGCGGGGCAGAGGCCCGGGCTCACTGAAGAGCTTCAGCTCGCCGCTGGGCTTCCCGCCTCTGTGCCGGGCGATGTTCATGATGGCGTAGGTCTTGTAGTCCGTGGCCACCACGATGACCTCTTTGCCTCCTTGGGACAAACCAAACACAGGAGTCCCAGGCTGTGTGTTGGGGGGGCCTCCCATGGGCCATACCCGCACCCCGGAAAGTACACACGCAGGTAGGTGCTGCACACACAGGGGGCCACAGCAGGCCTTCTGGACTCCCCGGGGGAGCTTCCTGAGGAGGGTGGGCAGGGAGCCCCACTGGCCAGGACAGAGGACACCCGATCAGTCTCATCAGAGGTTGCAGAGAGGAGGTGCGGGCAGCCCAGGCCAGAGGCTGGGCGGCTTCCGTGCAGGCTAGGCAGTGAGCTCAGGCCGAGGGCTCTGGGTGACCACGTCCCCACGGGAAGACCCTGAGGGCCAGGGTGGCCGAGCAAGGGCCGCGTGTGGTGGGACGGAGGGTCCCCACCGGCTTCCAGCCGCGTGGAGGGCGGGGCTGAGGACTCTGGGCTGCTGGGCACCACCCTGGCCTCTGGGCTGAGCAGGGCATGGGGCAGGGAGTGAGGAAGGGGTGATCGCAGGCCGCGTTCCTCACCAGAGTCTGAAGGGAGCTTGAACTTCCCAGGGGCGTCCCCCTTCACAGCCTGGTTCTTCTCCTTCACGCACAGGTTCATGCTGAGAGGGCAGACGCTTTCAGCCCAGCCTCGCCCACCCTCACCGCGCCTTGCTCTGGACGAGGGGCAGCTCTGAGACCACCAGGGAGCCCCCCCGACCAGCGGGCCCCTGTCCGGCTCCACGTCCAGGCACCGGCCACCTCAGGAAGCCGCCTTAGAGAGCGGGAGTCCACGCCTCCGCTCTTCCCCGGGGGCCCCAGCACCCTCCTCCCCCCGCCCCATCCTCGTCCCACCAGGGGGCCCGCGGGACACCCGGAAGGTCGGCGCCACTCACTGGTCAGACACGGAGGTCAGGCTGAGCTGGGCCCCATCATGTTCCACTCTCACGGCCCCCACTTTCCGCCCTGGGGACGGGCTCTGGTGCTCCAGGTTGGAGGCCAAGGCAATCTCATACCACGTGCCTGAAAACTGGGGGGGCAGCAAGCTGGAGGGGGGCTGCCTTAGGGGGCCCGCCGCTGGGATCAGGGCCTCCCCCAGCCAAGTAGGACAGTGGTCTGGGGAATTCCTGGGCCCCGCACGCCTGGAGCTGGCAGGGGCTCTAGAGGGAACGTGTTCCCAGGGCCCCCAGGCTCCCTCCGGCTGGCCTGGCCATCCACCATGGCAGGCGCCCTGACGCAGCCACCTGGGTCAAGTTGAAGTTCTGGAGGCCCAAGTCCTCCTTGCCAGCCGCCAGCACCACGAGCAGCCCCAACAGGACAGTGAGCAAGTTTCCCCTCATGTCCGGCCGGCAGGGGCTGGGGCCAGCTCCCCAAAGCCACAGGACACGGTCCTCGGGCCCAGCCCGGGCTTATACCCTCCCCGTGGGTGTCAGCAAAGGCACAGGCTGGCTTCATTAAGCAGACCACCCGCCCGCCCATCAGCCAGGCCAGGCCAGAGGGCCTCCGCCCCCGGACCGTGGTGTTGCCCGGCTCCCTCCTGTGCTCCACAGCCAGTCGGCTGCCCTGCAGGCTGGGCCCCAGGCCCCCGGGGGAACGGCGCCCAGGGCCCCCAGACCACCCGCGGGAGGCCGGAGGACAGTGTGGGGCTCCCTGGCGCGGGGGCAGGACAGGAGGCGGCACGTCCTGCACTTCGGGGATGCGTATGTGGGGGGCGGATGGCAGTCGGGGCCCCTCGCGGCACCGGGACCCAACCACTGCCCACGAGGCTCCAGCAGGAGTCCTCAGCAGTACCTGGCACCCGGCCCGCGGCCCGGCTGGGAGCCCCAGGCGACCTCTGGATGTGGGCGCGTGCCCTCGAGGGCCCGCCAGCTGCATAGGCAGGGGCCCGGGTCAATGGGGTGGGACCAAGGACACGGGTGCCCACACGACGCGGACTCTGCAGCCCGGCAGACCTCCCCGCCGCCCCAGGCAGTGGGCAGTGAGGCGTGAGCCAGGACGTCCCGGCCCCGCCAGCCCTGCAGGCTGATCAGCAGCCCCCGAGGCAGCTCCCCTGGCCCTTCACCCACGGAACTGTTCCCTGCGGCGGGGATAGCGTCTCTCCGTCCCACGGGTGAACAGCTTCATGAGCAGGGGTGGAAGGCACGTGTCCAGGTCCGCCTGGCAGGTGGGCAGCTGCCCCGACACCCCAGCTGCCCTCATGGTCCTTGACTGCACCCCACCTCCAAGTGTCAGCCATCTGCCCAGCAGAGACAAGGGGGTGGGCTTCCCGCCGGTGGCCGACAGTAGCCAGGCCGGAGGGCTTGGGGAGCGGCAGGGACAGAGACAGGGAGACAGAGACAGAAGGTGAGGGTGGGGTGGGAAGAGATGCCCGCGGAGTGCCAAAGGGATGCGGGGGTCCCGGCCCCCAGGGAAGCAGAGTGGCTGGGCCCCGCAGACACCGCAGGGCCTCACGGTCTCAGCTCAGCCTGCCGCTCACGGCAGAGGCTCCAGGGCAGCTGCTGAACGTTTGTTGACCCCACCAGCTCACCCGTCACCCCTCGCCCCCCAGGAAAGACGGGACCATGGGTTTGGCTGTAGAGTTTATTAGGACAGAGCAGCTGCAGGTGGCCTCCCAGGGCTGGCGGCCCAGGGAGGCCGGGTGAGCCGGGCTCCAAGCATCCCCTTGGGGGCAGCGGCTCCCCTAGGTCAGCTCCTGCGACAGGGAAGGGCAAGGCCTCAGGGCGCCATCCGAACCCGGGGGCACCAGGCAGGGGTGGGCGTCATAGCTGAGTGGCCTGGGCCTCAGTTTCTCTACCTGCAAAGTGGGGTCACAGTCCCGTCTCCCGGAGCTGTTGAGACAGAGGGACTGTGCAGCTGAAGGGTTAGCACAGTGGGGGACCCGGGAGCCCGAGACGGGGTCCACAGGGCCTGTGTCCCCCAGCGGATGGAAACCTGGGTGAGGCCAGCCTCCCCTGCCCTGCCCGCCCCAGCCTCCAGGGCCCCCCTCTGGGCCACCTGGCATCAGCACCCTGGAGGCCCCGTGATCTAGAATGAGCTGGGGCTCCCGTCAGGCCGGGACTCAGCTGGGGGTTAAGACTCACCTCCTTCAGGAGCCTAGCACACCTCCCTGCGGGAAGGGAGAGCGTGAGGGGCTGCACATGGGATGTGTGCCTGGCCCCCGCCCCCCGCCATCACGGGCCCCCTCGCCCAGAGACCACCCCAAGGCCTGGAGCTCACCGTGCCGGCCCACCAGGTACAGCCCCATGTCTGTGGTCAGCTCCCGGAACTTCAGGAACCCGGGCTCACACTTGCCGCCCAGGCTCCGAGCTGTGGGGGGATGGGGGCGTGAGCCAGGGGGTCCCCGGGGGCCGCAGCGGCCCAGCCCCCACCCCGGGGCAGCTTACTGAAATACTTGAACACGTAAAACTCCTTGTTCTGCCACTGGAGGGACACGCGCAGGATGGCGTACTGCTCATAGTCCGTGTCTATCACGTGGATCTCCCGGCGGCCTGCGTGGACAAGCGGGAGGGACAGGCCTGGGTGGACGGGCACCCCCCGGGGCGGGTCGGCCTGGGAAGTCAGTGTCGACAGGGCCTGACTCCATTCTCCCCCACGCAGCCGGGACCCTCTCAGGACACCGGGACCCTCTTGGGGGGACTAGAGCAGCTCTGGCAGGATGGCCAGTCTGTTGGGGGGAGCAGAGGAGTCTGGGGTGCTAGGAGGAGCGCAGGGAACAGCATGAGGAACAGCCAGGCCAAGAGGAACTGGCGGGTGAGGCCCAAGGAAGCAGCTCTTACCAGGAAACACAAATTTCCCCAAAACATTCATTTCTGAGCTCACTATTTCTTCAGTCTGACAACTGCCTGAGCTGAAAGGCAACAGAGCGGTCACTAAGAAAATGCCTGCCTGCGTGCCTTCTCGGGGCCCACTCCTGGCAAGGGGGCAGGCGTGCTGGCCTCGGGGGCACCTGGAACAGGGGGCCGTGCCGGCCTCTCGCCCGAGGGCCCTGCGCCCTTCGGAGAGCCACCCACCACCAAGTCCTCCTTTCCGTCCTCCTAAACCCACGGGGCCTCATCAAGACAGCCTGCTTCATTCGGGAGAGGACGCAGCTTTGCGGCCTGGGGCCTGGTCTCAGGGGAGGGTGGAGGAGGACCCCGGGGGGACTGGTGCACCCGAGGACAGTAGCAGCCATGCCCGACACCCGCGGCTGCAGCCTCCCTGACACACGCGCCTGACCCCGCGCTCCCGGGGGCCGGGCTGCTCACTTGTTGTAGGCGACCGTCACGGTCAGCGTCTCCCCACTCACGGTCAGGAACAAGGCCTCCAGCCTCTTCGGGGTCTTTAGTGCCAAGTTTTCTCTGGAGGCCACACCAGCTTCCCACCAGAATCCTACCATCTAGAGAAAGGACCGGAGCCAAGCCCGTTCGGGCAGCTGAACCCGGCCCCGGGAGGCAGACCCCTCTCCATAGACCTCCCAGGCAGGGAGTCAGCGGGCTCTGAAAGGTCAGCGAAGCAGCAGGTGGGGGGCCTTCTGCGGGGTCCCCACACGGGCCTGTCTGCAGCTGCTGCAGGGCTGGTGCCCTGTCTGTGAGGAGACCCCGCCTTGCAGTGCCTACCCCTGGGCAGAGGCAGCGGTGGTCAGAGCCTGAGAGACAGGGCAGAGAGCGGGCTGGCTGGATGTGAAGGCCCCCGGGGGTGGTGGCCAACAGCCCTGCACCGTGGGGGAGGCCCGGCTCCCCACGGCCATGCTGGAGGACCGAGCGCCCGCCCTGGAAACCACCCCTGGGGCCCGGACCGTCCCTCTGAAGCTTTTAAAAACTGATCATTTTTTGCAAGAGAAACAAATCTGTGTCTGACACTGGCTGTTTCTGAGCCTGCCGGCCCAGGCCGGGCAAAAAAGGAGCTCAGACAAAGAAGCCTCCAGATGGAGACCGAGAACGCCCCCACCGAGGTCCTGGCCCGGGAAGGCCTTCTCCTCTGCTCCCACCTCCTTCGGGGTCAGAGGTCAGAGCAGGAAGCCCGCCAGCCTGAGAGCAGAAGACGGCCACTCAGAGCCCCACACTCCAGAGACCCCCTCAGGGGACCGGCCAGCCAGGCTGAGGACACAGTCACCCAGAGGAGGCCCTGGGGGAGGGGGGCGCCCCCCCCCCCCGTCGGCCCTGGGTACTCAGCACATCCCCACCGACCAGGAGCAGGGACCTCAGGCTGGGCTGAGCTCAGACCCAGGGGGTCCTGGGACCCCCGCGCGCCTGCCCCAGCTCAGCTGTGGGAGAGGAGTGCTGGAGGAGCTGGACCCTCGGGGCCCTCCTGGCCCAGGCCCGCCACCCCGAGGAGGACCAGCACCTTCTGCAGGTCCAGGCCCTGTGGGGTCATCTGCACCTGGGCCAGTGTGAGGCCCAGGAGGGCCCTCAGCAGCCCGGCCCCCATTGAGCGTCCGCTCCACGCCCTAAGTCCTGGGCAGGGTTATAGCAGGATGGAGGGCGGTGGGGGTGCAACCCCCCAAGAGGACCGTGGTGAACTTGGCCTCCAGCCACTCAGAGGTGTGCATCCGGGCCCCAGGACGCCCACAGCCGCGGGGCGGGGTGACCTGGACCAGAGCAGCCCATGCCACCCCCTCCTGGTCCAGGGACGATGGTGGGCACCATGGCGGGGCCCGCCTGGGGGCCTGAGGGCAGGACAGAGCCCCCAAAGCAGGGCTGCCAGGACCACATCTCCCCCCGGGGAGGGGCTGCCAGGATGGATTCGCCAAGCCCAGGCTGCACACACAGCCACACACTCCCCTCCCGGGGCTCACATCAGTCTTCAAGCTCTTTCTGATGGATCTTGGGACAAGTGAGTGAATGCCCCACAGGCCTGGACCACAGAGGCAGGTGAGGGCTGCTTCTGGGTGGGGGGAGTGTTGGAGGGGCTGCAAGGCGTGGGTGGGAGAGGTCATTGCCTGCAGAGGGGGCCGTGGGGACAGACAGATGCCCCGCGGGAGGCGGTGTTGTGGTCGCCCAGGCCCCTGCCCCTCCACAGACACCAGGGAGCGGCTAGCCACCCACCCGCTTCCTGTGCTCGCAGCTTCTCCACAGATGGGACCCTCCCCGCCCTGACACCCACCCTGACACCCACCCTGCACGGCCAGGCGGGGCCAGCCTCAGGGACCCCTGTCCTGCTTACGCTCCGCGAGCTGTGGGCCACCGGTGTCCACCCCTTCCCACCGTGCCCAGGCCCCTAACCCAGGACCAGATGGCGAGGAGGTCAGGGTGAAGGCAGAGCCAGGATACCTGGGCACCAAGGCCTCCAGCCGCATTGCCCAAGGGAGCTGCCCTGCCTCAGTTTCCCCACACATCAGGATGGAGAGCAAAGCAGGGGTCAGGTACCCAGGAGGGTCCCAGGGCACCAAGGCAGCCATGATCCAGCTAGCAGCCCTGGCCTCTGGCCGACGCAGGGCGGCCTCCCCACCTCCAAGGCCACAAAGGCTCACCCAGGCCTGGCCAGCTAAAGGCGAGGCCTGCTCACCCGAGGCAGGGGGACTGCCACCTTGACCCTGCAGCAAAGCTGTGGTAACCGGTCACACTGGGACCAGGCAGCCCTGAGACCCGGGGGGCTCATCCAAAGGGAAGGAGCGGGGCGGGGTGCCCGGGGAGGCTGATCCGGTCCTGGGCTGAGCCCGGAGCTGGGCTCACGAGCCAGGTCCCCAGGGGCTTGAGTGGGCAGAGGAGAGAGGACAGGAAGCCCAGGGCCGCCCCCTGTCTTGGGGTGACCAGGCCGAGACAAGGATGGATGCACTCAGAGCTAACGGCTTCCTGCCCCACCCGCCAGGGCTGCAGGATGCCCGCGAGCAGTGAAGCAGGGTGTCCAGCGCCTTCCTGCCCCCCACAGGCCCGGCCCTTTGAAGTGTGTGCATCGGGCAGAACTGGATGCTGTGAGCTCCGCGGGGCATGGTGTCAGGGCAGGAGCTGCACGGGCCCCGGGCGTGGGGTGCTCCAGCCCCCCACCTCATTGAGGGTCAGCAGGGAGCCCAGCTGGGCCACTGGCTGGGCAAGTTGCCGACCTCTCTGCGCCTCAGTTTCCTCATGAGCAGACAAGGCGCCCTGTAGGCTCACCGCTCGGGCCCGAGAGTCCACCCAGGGGCACTCAGGCTGGGCCACAGGGAGGGGCTCAGGGTGCTCTGGCCATGACCGTGACCCATTCCCAAGCCTCACAGAGGCTCACCAACAAGCCCAAGGTCAAGGTCACAGCAACAGCAGGAGGGAAATCCCGACAAGCTGCACCCCGGGCTCCTCTGTGGCTGCTCTGCCTCTATGGGTTCTGTGCCCCTGATGGAGGGCTGGGCTGCCCAGGCCACCTCGGTGTCCCCACAGGGGCCGTGAACCCACGGGGACCGGGCTGGGGGACCCAGATGCTGCCTGTGGGTGCAGCCCCCATGGGGGCCACCCTTGGCTGGCGCCTCTCCCTCTGAGCCATAGTGCCCGTGCCTCAGTGGCTCCAGGAGCCCGGGTCACGGGAGGGCCCCAGGGCCCTCCCCAGCGGCCTCTCCAAAGAATCCAGGGGCCTGGAAACTGCAGAATCTGTTTATTGAGTGGAAGTGGGAGGCCCCAGGAGATGCCCGCGGAGGGTAGGGGATGGGGAGGTGCAGGGCTGGAGGGCCGTGGGTCAGGACGACTCGGGGTGACAGAACCTGCTGCTCCGGCTCGCCCTGCACAGACAGCAAAGGTCCGGTCACTCCTGGGACCCCCGAGCGGCGCTTCACACAGCAGGGTGCCTCATCTACTCATCCCCCGAAAGGGCAAGGTGAGCAGATTCCTCCACTGAAGCTTCTGCAACTATGGAAACACTCCCCCAAGGTGGCCCCTTTCCCCCGAGGCCACAGCCCCAGTGCAGCCCCTTGCAGGCTCCCCGGGGACCCAGCCACTGTCCCCAGGGTCTCACCACAGCCTGGCTAGCAGAACAGCCACTTAATCCCGAGGAGCCTACAGACGCAGCCCTGGAGAGGGGGTCCACGTAGGTGTGCACGTTACCCTAAAAGGTGCTTTTTCTAACATAGTCCTGGGGGTGGGGCAGACAGGCTCACGCTCTCTGCACCTAGAACCTTCCTGATGGCACGTGACCCGATCCCTAACGTTGCTGAAACAGGGACGGAGCCAGGACCCTGGGCCGCGTTGTTGAGACCACTGACAGCTGCAGCAGCCCAGTGCCCCCAGCGCAGCCCTGGGTGAACTCGGCCTGGCCGGGGGAGTGGAGTGAAGTGAAGGCCGGAGGGGCACTGCCCGCAGGCCACTCTGGAAGCCCCCACCTAACCTAACCATGCCAGGAGAGGCCGCAGGGGGGCCTCCTGACGCCAGCGACTGTCACACTGTGTCCGAGGTTTACTGTTCATGTAGGTTCCCAAGTTCTTCATGGGGAAGGGGGGTGAGGGGCCCGAGGGTCTCCTGTCCGCTTTGGGAGAAGGCATCCGCAAGAGCCCAGCTGCATCCATGTCCCAAGGGATCCTGGGGACTCAGCCCTGTGACGGCAGCAAACCAGAAGGCCGTGGTTCCCACCTCGTGGGGCCCTTGGGAGAAGATGAGGACTCGGGAATCCCAAGGCAGCACCCAGCACCTCTGGGTGAGCCAGGGGCTATGCGGACACAGGACACACTGGGCTGGATCGTGTTCCTCCAAATCCATATCCACTTGGACCTCCGAAAGTGCCCTTACGTGGAAATAAGGTTTCTGCAGATGTAATTGGTTGAAGATCTTGAGAGGGGATCACCCTGGATTTAGGGTATCCTTATATGAGGGCAATCTGGCCTCTTAACAAGCAAAGCAGAGATGGGAGTGGTGGGTCGACAGGCCAAGGATCGCCAGCAGCGCCAGCCGCTGGAAGAGGCAGGGATTCCGCCCCGAGCCTCCAGGAGGAACAGCCCTGCCCAGTCCTTGACTCTGCACCTCTGGCCTCTAGGCTATGAGAGAGTAAATTCTTGTTGTTTTAAGCTACCCAGTTTGTGGTAGTTTGTTAGGGCAGCGCTAGGTGATCAGGAGAGGCTCCTCAGAAGGGGTGATGTGTAAGTGGAGGCTTCAGGCACACGAGTGAGTATCCAGGGAGAACAAGGGATGCTGGGGGATCTGCATGTGCAGACCTCAGGGGGTGTGAGGGCAGGAGGTCCGGGACACAGGCCCTGGAGAACGGGAGGGAGTTGCTACCCTGGGCCATACCTGGGAAGGGCCAAGTCTCCGGGCCCTCAGGGTGCGTCCCTGTCCCCCAGGGAGCACGCATCTGTAGAAAGACAGAGGGTCCCGAGAGGCTGGGCTGGCTGGGACTGCCCCCTGCCTCCTGCAGCCCCTCCCCATGCCAAGGGACCGTCTGGGGGCGGCCCCACCCCGGGCCCGGCCAACACACCCTTGGAAAACAGGGCTACCTCCTGCCAGCACCTCCCAGGACTCCGGAGGGGGGCGGGGCGGGACTTTGGCGGGGGCGGGGCTCGCGGGGGTACCTGACTTGGGCAGCATGGCCACCATGTCCGCTGACAGCCCCACCGTCGGGTAGAAGTCCTGGAAGGCCTCCAAGGCTTGGGGACTCGCTTCTCGGGTCCGGCCTGGGACAGAGCGGGGGCCCCTGTGAACCCCTGTGGGTCACGGAGGTGAGAGAGCCGGCAGATGGGGGCCCCGGGGCTCACTGCACTTTCCTGAAGGCTGATGGTAGGTCTGCCACCTGAGGTTGTGCACTGATGAATGTGCCTGCCTGGCTGAGGGGCCAGAGGGGACTGGAAGCTGCCCGGAAGGGCAGCCTTTCCCAATTCACACAGAGCACCTGGGAGCGTGAGGTGCCCGGCTGCTCTCCCAGACCCTGCGCCCCGGAGGCCCACCCCTTCAGACACCTTTACCTGCAGCTCCCAAAGCCAGCTTCCCGCCCTCACCCTGGCCTCTCTCCTTGAGGAGCTCTCCTGGTTCACTCTGCCAAGCCCTCGAGAAATTAAACCAAAATAGTATCGCAGCCTCTGCTCAGGGTGTCAGGCCGTAGGCCACGCAGGGGAGGCGGGGTCTCCAGCCAGAGACAGGCCTGAGCTTTGGCCTGAGCGCCCATCCTTCAGAGGTCCCTCGGTTCAGCCATACCCATCGGCAGCGCTGGGGTTTCCGCCAGCCCCCACCCGGACCTGGTCCAGACTTGGGAGTGTGAGATGGGGTGGGCAGGGCCTGAGGAGGTGCCCCAGCGGGTGGGGTGGGGTCCAACGGGGACAGTGGGTGGGGTCGGGGGGGTACGGGGGAGCCCTCACTGTAGAGCTGCACCATGGCGCTGAGCGCGCCCTCCAGCTCCTTGTAGATGTAGACCACGGCGAAGGAGCTGTAGTCCGTGTCCACCACGCGCACGTCCAGGTAGCCCAAGGCTGCAGAGGAGGCGGCCGGCTGTGGACAAGGGCACAGCGGAGCATCCACCCCGCCCACACGGGGAGAGGGGGCGGGGCCCAGGCAGAGGCAGGGGAGGGCACCGGGAGGGGAGGGGAGGGGCATGGGGGAGGGTCACCCATGGAGAAGGGGGTGGGGGGTCACCTACCTGGGACTCGGAAGTGCCCCTGGGAACCCACTCTCAGGTACTCCGCATCCACTTGGTTACAGCCGTCCTCCCTGGGGGTGCACGCCCGCTCATTCTCGGCCCCGCCCACCTGGCCCCGTCCTGGGGTGCACAGCCCACTCACTCTCCGCCCGGCCCCGCCAGTCCACCCGGCCGCGCCCCGCGCGCGCTCATGCCTCGCGCTCACCGGGGGAACTCCATGTGGACGCTGAGGTTGCCCCCCGCCGAGGCCTTGATGTCCCTGGTGGACATCAGGAGGTGGTCCTTCTTGCCCAAGAAGACCTTGCAGTCAGAGACCATGGAGACCACGTACCAGAGCCCTGAGAACTGCAAGACAGCTCAATGACCCGAGGCCGGACTCTCCTCACACCCGGACCGTGGGCCAGAAGGCCCCAGAGTTGTCTGAAGCCCCGCGGCCGGGCCTCTCCGGTGTGCTGCCGCTCACCTGGGGCAGGGCTGCTGGCCACTGGGAGCCTCGGTGCTCCCAGCTGTGAAGTGGGTCAGTAACTATCCACAGACAGGGTTATTTCAGGGTTAAATGGAAGGGACTCTACAGGCTGCGCAGGCCCGGAACACCGAGCAAGCGTCCCATGGAGGCGGCAGGCTCCGCTAGAACGCGGTCACTCTTGTTTCCAGCGGCAGCTCAGCCTGGACCCCCACTTGCATGGCACAGCATGGGGCCTCTCGTACCTTGTTGGCATCAAAGTCTGGCTGCACCAGGACGTCAGCCCGAGCCGAGGACGGCCAGAGCAGCAGCAGGACGCAGCTCAGCAGCGTGGCCCCCATCCCCGTCCGCGCCCCCTGGCCCCGGCGATGGGTCCACCAGCCCCCTGTAGGCAGCTTTATAGCCCAGCCCGCAGTGGGGCCGGGCCAGCGAGCTTCCTGGGCAGCGGACGGCGTCTCGGCTCCGGAAAAGCCAGCCCCTCTTTGTTCCTTGTTTGGCACAATCGCTCGAGTGTCCCCACCGGCTCCAGGGGTCATTTCCGGGAGGGCTCTCACTTGGCTCAGGCCTTGTGGGCGCCGTGGCGGGAGCCTGGGGCCCTTGGGGGCGCCGCTGGGAAGCACCTGCAGTCAGGTTGCTCCAGCCAGGAGGCTCCCCCTTGGGGCCCAGGTCCCCGAGTCCTCACCCCCTCACATCCCTCAACAGGAGCGGAGTCACCATCGGCCGGGCCTGCGGACCTCGTCTCGGGGGACAGAGGTGACGTCAGAGGCCCGAGCAGCCCTGCCTCCTGCCCCTGGCTGGGCCTCCAGCAAGCCCGTGTGGAGGGCGGGGCTGGGCCGCCACCTGGGGTGGATTATGGGGCCACAGCCACCTTATCACCGGTTGCATAAGCTTGCCGACCGCAATGTCGCCGGGGAGGCGCCACAGGCCGGTGGGGGCTCGGGCCGGCGAGGCCTCTCTCCAGGTGGCCTCTTCTGTCCTGTCAGGGGACGCCATTCGAGGAGCAGCACGTGGCCTGGGGCACTCAGAGTCCTCTGATCAGAGGCAGGCATCCCCAGGGAAGGTCAGCACTGCACTCCCAGTGGAAGTGCACTCAGGGTCGGAGAAGGACCCTCATCAGCCAGCGGGGTTGGGGGAGTGGGTCGGCGGGGCCGAGGGCTCTGGCTCACCGCCTCCACGGGGTTCAGGAGGCGCCAGCTCTCAACCAGATCCCAGAGCCCTGGGACAGACGGCAGTGAGAGCCTTCCTGTGCAAATATTTACAAAACACCCATCTGATAAACGGCTTAAATCCTGAATCTATAGAGAACTCTCAAAACTTAAAAAAAAAAAAAGCGAAATATTTCAAAAGATTCCAAATCAGAAAGCAAAGCCATGCAGAGAAGCTCATGGGCATTCGTTCACTGTAAGGAGACGCCACCACATGCTGGCAGGCTGGCCACTCTGTTTCCAAACCAAAGACACTGGATGGTCACTGCCGGGGTGGGGAATCGAGAGGGTGCGACGCCCTGGGCAATGGCTTGGCAAATTCTCATGAAGGAAAACATTCAAATACCATGTGATTCGACAATCGCAAGCTTAGATGTTTACCCAAGAAAAATGAGACACACTTTAGCAAAACCTGCTGGTGGCTGGTCGTGAGATCTTACTGACAATCCCTAAAATACAGAAACAACCAAATACCTTTCACGGGGCAGGACGAACAAACACGAGACTCTCCAGACACACTGGCTCAGGGTACCTCTCGGGTAAACCCCAAACGCCTTATGCTGAGTGAAGAAGCCAGTCTGGGAGGGTTACAGACTGTGGCTCCAGAACACGGGAATCCTCAGGGACAGAAGGCGTGGCTGGAGGACGGATGGGCCTGGCTGATGACAGAGTGGCTTGCGGAGACTCTGGGGTGATGGACTGTGGTGCATTTGTCTAAACTTACAGAACCAAAGGGGGTGAATTCCATAGCATGTAAATTATACCTCAACTTTTAAAAAATGTAAACTAGAGACTTGCCTGGTGGTCGAGTGGCTAAGACTCTGTGCTCCCAGTGCAGGGGTCCAGGTTCGATCCCTGGTCAGGGAACTAGCTCCCACGTGTCACAGCTAAAGGTCCTGTATGCCCCAACGAAGACCCAGTGCAGCCAGGTAAATAAACTTTTAAGTGTAAACTACAGTATATATTTATACTTATATAGTGTAGATAGGCTGGACACGGAACAACTGACTGGTTCCAAATAGGGAAAGGAGAACGTCACAGCTGTATATTGTCACCCTGCTTATTTAACTTATATGCAGAGTACATCATGAGAAATGCTGGGCTGGATGAAGCACAGGCTGGAATCAACATTGCTGGGAGAAATATCAATAACCTCAGATATGCAGATAACACCAACCTTATGGCAGAAAGTGAAGAACTAAAGAACCTCTTGATGAAAGTGAAAGAGGAGAGTGAAAAAGTTGGCTTAAAGCTCAACATTCAGAAAACTAAGATCATGGCATCTGGTCCCATCACTCCATGGCAAATAGATGGGGAAACAGTGGAAACAGTGACAGACTTTATTTTCTTGGGCTCCAAAATTACTGCAGATGGTGATTGCAGCCATGAAATTAAAAGACGCTTACTCCTTGGAAGGAAAGTTACGACCAACCTAGACAACATATTAAAAAGCAGAGACATTACTTTGCCAACAAAGGTCCATCTAGTCAAGGCTATGGTTTTTCCATTGGTCATGTATGGATGTGAGAGTTGGACTACAAAGAAAGTTGAGTGCCAAAGAATTGATGCTTCTGAACTGTGGTGTTGGAGAAGACTGTTGAGAGTCAGTCCATCCTAAAGGAAATCAGTCCTGGGTGTTCATTGGAAGGACTGATGTTGAAGCTGAAACTCTACTATTTTGGACACTTGATGCGAAGAGCTGACTCATTTGAAAAGGCCATGATGTTGGGAAAGATTGAAGGCAGGAGGAGAAGGGGACAACAGAGGATGAGATGGCTGGATGGCATCACCGACTCAATGGACAGGAGTTTTGGTAAACTCCGAGATTGGTGATGGACAGGGAGGCCTGGTGTGCTGCGGTTCATGGGGTCGCAAAGAGTGGGACATGAGTGAGCGACTGAAATGAACTGAGTGTAGATAGGTAGGCAGGTAGACTGTATGAACTCTTCTCCCAAATGCCAGCTCTTGGGATGAGGGGCAGGGAGACAATGTGTCCGGAACTCCCAAGTAAGATCCAAGAGTGGTAGGCAGAGGTCAGACCTCTAACCATAGAACTGTGGGGTGAGAGTAAGCAGGGATCAAGGGACAGGTCACCGCAGCTTGCAGACCTCCTGAGGACCCCCTTGAGCCTCAGGTGTGGGGCAGCTTCTGAGGCCACGGATAACGCTCCCACCACCAGCATGCTCCCTGTCGGGGTCTGGACTCCCAAGTGCAAACCCACGCCGAGGGAAAACCCACGCCGAGCACAAACCATCCCCAGCCCGCCCCCACCCCAGCCGGGGCCTCTTGCTCATACCCTCCTGCCCAGGGGCCCTCTGGTCCCGTCCAGCCCCTCACCAGAGCCCCCGCCACCTGGGTTACTTCTCACCCTCTGCCTAGTCAGCAGCCTTCCTCAAACCCAGCCCACCACCCGTCTGTTTCCTGGTCGCTTAGCACCCTCCCAGTCCTCTCCTGTGTTTATCTGTTCTCTGCCCTCCTGTTCTCTCTGTTCTCCTGTGAACCCCGAGACGACAGAGCTGCACCAGCCTGCAGGCCACCCGTCGGCCTCTGTTTCCCAAGCCCGGAGCACAGGGTCTGGAGGTGGAAGCTGCCCACTGACCCTTGTGAGTGAATGAGGGTCAGGCCCAAGTCGCTGTGACCCGCAGGTCTGCCAACTGGAAACCGCACAGCATGCATTTGCCTGCAGGCAGCGTCTGTGTGGCCACGTCCAGCTTGAGGTGGCCCTGAGTGCCTGGTGCTGCAGGCCCAGCCAGCAGCGGCTCAGTGGGGGCCCCGCACACATGGTGGGCCGGGCACTGCGGCCAGGGCCTCTGTCGCGCCCTGCAGGCCTCAGCGCCCTGACGGAGGCTAGCGCACGCTCTGCTATGTGCAAAGGGGGTTTGTGGGGGCTCAGGACGAGGATGGGGGCACCGGCAGGAGAGGTGCTTTGGTGGGCGGGGGCAGACCAGAGCGGGCGAGGCCCTGGACCCAAGAAGGTGCAGTCCCAGAAGTGGCCACAGGGCAGTAGCAAAGAGACACCACTCGCAGGGCTGGTGGAAGAGCTTAGATGGGGCCTGCGGTTCCTGGAGCTGGGGCGGGGTCCCCTGGGGAGGGGTCCTCTAGAAGGAAAGCTGCTTACACTGAGGTGAGGTCTGCTGAAGGGCTGGGCTCCCCAAGTGGCGCCAGAGGTAAAGAACACGCCTGCCAGTGAGGAGATGTAAGAGACGCAGGTTTGATCCCTGTGTCTGGGAGATCCTCTGGAGGAGGGCATGGCAACCCACTCCAGTATTCTTGCCTGGAGAATCCCCATGGACAGAGGAGCCTGGTGGGCTACAGTCCGTGGGATCACAGAGAGTTGGGCCAGACTGAAGCGAGTTTGCATTCATGCTTTCCGCTGAAGGGCTGCGAAGCTTCAAAACCGCCACCAACGAATGGGTAGACAAACGTGGTCCATCCACACGTCGGAAGACTGTCCATGTAACACGACGACCCTTGAAGACAGGGTGCTGGTGAGAGGCCACGTGCAAGAGTCCCCTGTGGGACATGCATGATAGCAAATCTGCAAAGACAGAAAGGAGATTAGTGGTTACCAGGTGCTGGGCTGGGGGTTACTGTTTGAAGCGTGTGGGGTCTCCCTTTGGGGAGAAATGCCCCAGGGGGGCAGCGAATTCTGCCAGGAAGCCGACATCTGGCTGAGAGCTGGGCCACACAGCAGGCAGACACAGCCCAGCGGGGGGGCAGGCGACAGCTGCCTAGGACAAAGAGAACTGGGGGGTGGGGGTCACAGGGGGATTGGAAGGCTGCAGAGCTGGGGGGGTGGGGGTCACAGGGAGGATTTCAGGGCTCCCAGAGGCTGCTCTGGGTGCTGAGCAGGAGCCAACAGGAAGGTCCTGGGAACGCTGGGTCCGAGGCCACACGGGAGGCACTGAGCTCTGAGTGGCCACCATCCCCACCCGCTTCCTCCAGGCTCAGCGCCCAGGCTCGCCCCCTAGTGTCCCCCAGTCTCCACAGCAGGCTGCCTGCTGCTGGGGGGGCGGGCGGGGGCATTGGCAGGGAGGCTCAGGGCAGCCGGGTCAATCCCAGCTGGGCCCCGCTGCCAACGGCTGACCGTGGCCAGCGCCCTACATGCCGCTCCCGCCCCGAGGGCCCCTCCCTGGCTGGCGTCCTCGCCACCCATCCAGCCGCCCGGTAAAGATCACTGGGAGGAGCTCTGGCTCGGCCTCCTGGGCCGGGGTCCTGCAGCCCCTGCCCCCTTCCTGGTCCAGTGCCCCCAGGCCCCCTCTGTGGAGCCACGGGGAGTCACCCCTGCCCGTGGTGTGCTGTCTGTGCCAGAGGCCCTGGCCCCGGGGTCCTCCAGGCCTGGGGGCAGGGTGATGCTTTGCTGCAGGTCTGTGTGTGATGGGCTCTCTTTGGCCCCCTTTCCTGCAGGGCACGTCCTGTCTCCACGCAGGGTGGGGCACCGGCCTGAGGTCCTTCCTGGGAAGGCCCAGCAGGACAGACAGCTCCATCTTTCATCAGCTTACAAGCTGCCTGTCCTGTGTCCATAGCACCCTGGAAGCCAGCCAGCAGGGGAGGCCGGGAGCTATGGTTCGCAGGGCACCCCTCCCCGGGAGGGCATCCTCCCAGGTACTTCCACTTGGGTTTTGGGGCCTCAGACAGATCCTGCCAAACCCTTTGACCTCCGCTCCCAGGCAGGGTCTCCACTGACCCAGAGTGGGCAGCCCAGGTCCAGGGAAAGCTTTCATGTGGCCTTTGGGGCCCGGCCAGGCTCATGGTGAGCAGAGGTGGGAGGCATGAGTGCGGCTGCCCAGAGAGTGGGCAGGGCCGGATGGGTGGGCGGGCGGCGGAAGGCACAGGGCATTCCAGTTGGATGCTGGCCGTGGGGGGGCAGGAGACAGGGGGCAGCCAGGCAGGACGGTGGGTGGGCCAGGAGCGGGTGAGAGCTTCAAAGAAATGGGGGGGGGATTTGTATTTTTAATGCCTAAAACCAAAGATACCCCAAACCGCAGCTTCTGGAGGAAGTTTGTCCTTGCCTCTCTTCTCAGACGTGACCCTGGCCTGGGTTCAAGAGCAGGGTCTCTGGCCCTCCTAGACTGAGCGAGAGAGGGGTGGCTCCCTGGAAGGGAGGGGATGGTGCAGCCAGGGGCAGGATGCTCATTCTGCAAACTTCCAAGTGGAGGGCCGCTGGAGAAGCTGGGGTGGCATGAAGGTGTCCGTGTGGAAGGGGCCCTGCACATGGTCCCGGCCCCTCCCTGCTCCCTGGTGCGGCTGGAGGGTGAGGAGAGAGGCAGGAGGCAGTCTGGCGGTGAGCAGCCGCCCACAGCGCTGCGTTCAGAGTCATATAAACGGGCGTCCAGAGGCAGGAGGGCTGCTCACCCCGGGCCCGGGCAGGTCACTGGTGTGTGGACCTCGGGAGGATGAGCGCTGTGCTGCTGGCCGCCCTGCTGGCTGTGGCATCGGCACCCAGCACCCGGGCCATGTGGCTAGGGAGGCTGGACCCTCAGCAGGTGATGGCTCCCCTCCACCGGCGCGGGCCTGGGGCCACATGCGTCCTTGGGCCTTTGTGGTCTCCGGGCTCCCCTGGGGCCCCCCAGACCACAGGGGCTGCAGGAGGCTGGGCTGGGGCTGGGGGGACGGCCCCTCACCTGCACCCCCTCCCTCAGCTCATGGGGTCCTGGTATGTCCTCGCCGTGGCCTCGGGGGAGAAGGACTTCGCGCTGGAGAAGGCCACAAAGAGCGTCGAGGGGGTTGAGGTGATGCTGACGTCCCAGAACACCCTGAAGATGCGGGCTTCCCGGCACAGGTGGGTGGGGCGGGGGGCATGGCTGGGTGGCCGGGCCGCCCTCCCCTCCCTCTGCACTGGGCTTTGCTGTGAGCTCCACCGTCCACCTGGTCTCCGGGGTCTGCGTCCTGGGCTTCGGCTGGGGGGCGCCCCTGGGTGGGACTCACGCCTTCTCCAGCGAGGCCAGCACAGCCTCTGACTGCCCCCTCTGCCCCGGTCCTTGGGCAGCTTGGCGGCAGCTCTGGTCAGCGGGAGAGGCCGCTTCTTTGTTCAAGGCCCTCCTGAGTGGCTGTTCAAGGTGGGTCTGTGCATTTGAGCCCATATGGTCCGGGGGGCCCTGGGGGAGCCCGGAGACCACGAAGCCCTGAGCACTCGCGTCACCTAAGTGTCCAAGTCCCCCCGCCTGTCTCTCAGGGTGGCTGGTGGGACGCCATCCCTGCCCTGGAGTCATCACGCAGGCTGAGTGGCCGGTGGCCCCGTCCTGAGAGGAGGCTGACTGCCCTGCTCCTTCCCGCAGCCGAGCCTGCTGTGGCTGCCGCCCAGCTGGCCTGGACCGGCCGTGGACAAGCCAGGACAGGGGACATGGGGCTTGGGGCGGGCGCCCTGCGGTGCTGGGTGAACACAGGGTCACATGCGTCATGGGCTGTAACCCCAAAGCCATGTGGCTCAGAGAGTCCTAACAAGGCTCCAACATGCTCCATCCAAACACGGAGGCTTGGCATCCGGAAGGTCAGGCCCCGTGGGACAGCCGTGGACGGTGAGGGGATGAGGGCGCTAGCAGGGGCGGGGGTCTCCCAGCCCTTTCTGGCGTTCGCTTGTGGGTGCCGTAGGCCAGCGGCCTCGCTCCCTGCGGTGTGGAGGCGCGTGTGTCTGAGAACCTCGGCCACAGCGGGGCGGAAGGGGCGGGGCCCGGCCCGGGGGTCCGGGGGCGGGGCGCACACTGCCCGCAGGGCGGAAGGGGCGGGGCCCGGGGGTCCGGGGGCGGGGCGCACACTGACCGCAGGGCGGAGGGGGCGGGGCCCGGGGGTCCGGGGGCGGGGCGCACACTGACCGCAGGGCGGAAGGGGCGGGGCCCGGGGTCCGGGGGCGGGGCGCACACTGACCGCAGGGCGGAGGGGGCGGGGCCCGGGGGTCCGGGGGCGGGGCGCACACTGACCGCAGGGCGGAAGGACGCGCAGGAGGGCGCTCCGTTTTGTTCTTTAAGGTGAATTTCGTGTGTTGGTCTTCGAATAGGAAACACGGTTACCTGGTTCAAAGATCAGAGCCCCCTGGCGCTTTCCTGGGGGTCCAAGGGTTAGGACGCTGTGCTCTCACTGCCAAGGGCCCCAGTTCGATCCCTGGCAGCGAGCTGAGATCCCACGAACTGTGCCAAGTGGCCAAAAGCAACGGGGAGGTGGACAGCAGGGGTCTTTCCCCCCTCTTCAGCCAGCGGCCCCCTCGCAGCAGGCAGCCCAGGTTTTGGTCTGTGATGGCTCCTCGGAGATGGTCAGGAACACGCGAGCACATGCACGTCTTTCAAGCACTCAGGCAATCCGCAGTTTGGCGTCAGCCCCCAGGGGTCTCTGCCCTCTTTTGAAACATTTAAGATTTAATTATCTTTTGCCTTTCTTAAAGTTTTAAAACCTGTGGTAAGATAAACATAACACCTTAACCGTTCTAAGTGCACAGGTCACGGGCATCAAACACGCTCAGGTTGGGCAAACCTCACCAGCATCTCCGGGAGTTTCTCACCTTCTCAGACTGACCCCCTGTCCCCCGCAGACCCTCACTTCCCCTCCCCTCCCGCAGCCCCTGGCTGCACCATCTGCTTCCGTCTCTGTGGGTTTGATTCCTCTAGGGCCTCACATGAGTGGATCCTGCATTAGTCCTTTTTAAAGAAAAAGTGTTGGCTGTGTCTTTACGTTCGTTCTGGCCCTGCTGGGTCTCTACTGCTGTGTGGATTTCTCTGGGGGTGGAGAGTGGGGGCTACTCTCAGCTGCACAGGCTTCTTCTGTTTTGGAGCACGGGCTCTAGAGAATGGGCCCAGGTGCTCTGCAGCATGTGGGATCCTCCCAGACCAGGGACCGAACCCTTGTCTCCTGCTTTGGCTGGCAGATTCTCTACCACTGAGGTAGGGACATGGAAGGAAGCTCCTATGTTTGTCTTGTGTCTGGTATCAGAACATACTGTCCTCCAGGTTCACCCATGTTGCGAGCTGTGTCGTAATTTCCTTCTTGAAGGCTGAGTAATATTCCACTGCAGGGATAGACCACATCTAGCTCCCTTTCATCCATTGATAGATGTCTGGATTGCTTCTGGCTTTTGGGCCTTGAGAACACGGGTGTGCAAATATCTGTTTGAGACCCTGTTTTCAATTCTTTTGGAGACACACCCAGATTATTGGGTCAATCTGCTGACTCTGTGACTTTTTTTGAGAAACATTTTTCACAGCCAAGTAATACTCTCCTGGGCTGCCTTCCAGGGCTCTGCTGATGGGCAGACAGCGGTCTCCATTCTTTCGCAACTGGAAACACACCTAGGGGTGTGGATGTTGGTGCACCAGCCTGGGAGGGACAAATTCCTGGAGCTGAAGTGCGTCTGCCCTTCTTTCTCCGTGTCACATGAGGCGCGTGCCCTGAGCTGGTGTGGGACTGAGTGTCTGCTTGCCCTACGTTCTTGGCCATCTGATGGGTGACTGATGTCTCCACGGTTGTTTTTACTGCCTCCTGTGATCACAGGGGGGCGGGGATCTCGGGGCCTATTCCTTCTGGGGCTCCTCCCCAGCCTAGCGTCTGTTCATGTCTTTTGCATATTTTTTCCTGGGGTAGGTTTTTATTGCCATGCAAGAACACTTAGGTATCAGTGATTTTGGCCACGGTCTGTAATAAAGGTTAGCTGCAAATTTTCCCAGTCTGTCATTCTTACACCTTCGAGCAGTTTTTGGTAAGAAGAGTTCTTTCTGTCTTTGTGTGGATGTAACTCTGGCTGCTTTTTAGGGCCTCTGGGTCTTGTGATGTAGTTGTTAGGTCTTTCCACCTCCCTGGAGCTGAGAGGCCTCTGCTCTCTTACCTGCTCAGGGCTATGCCCTGGGGACCTGCAAGGTGTGACTGGTTGATGGACGTCCAGCTGCCCTGCACCCCTTGCCCGGGGTCCGTCTTCCTCCACTGGCTGGAGATGCTCGCTTCGTGATTCGCTAACCTCCTGGGCATTTTGCTTCATTTCCGGACTCTCTTCTGTTCCTGCAGTCAGTCTGCTTTTGTGCCCGTGAGTCGGGTTGCTTTCCCTCTGGTGGCTCCGCGTTGTTAGGTCATCGGCTGGTTCTTGCTGGTGATGCTCCTTTCAGGCTTTTCCTCGTTACTCCTGGGTCTTGCAGGGAACTTGGCCGTGAGCTCGTCTTGCTGCGTTCACAGAAGGCAGTCCGCTCATTTTACGGGTCGACGGCTTAGGGACACTGGCCTCCTTAGATGTGGAGTCGCTTTACCCCAAACTGCAGGCCCCCCGCTGGTCTCAGGCCCCTTTCATGCCCTCAGCAGCGCTTCCAAGTTTTCTCCATGTGGATCTGGCAAAGCAGGTCCCTCGGGAGGTAGCAGGCCTGCGGCCCCGACAGGTCACCTGTGGTTCAGAGCAGGGTTTCTGGGTAACTGCGGCCCCGACGGGTCGCCTGCGGTTGAGAGCAGGGTTTCTGGGTAACCGCGGCCCCGAGGGGTCGCCTGCGGTTGAGAGCAGGGTTTCTGGGTAACTGCGGCCCCGAGGGGTCGCCTGCGGTTGAGAGCAGGGTTTCTGGGTAACCGCGGCCCCGAGGGGTCGCCTGCGGTTGAGAGCAGGGTTTCGGGGAACCGCGGCCCCGACGGGTCGCCTGCGGTTGAGAGCAGGGTTTCTGGGTAACCGCGGCCCCGAGGGGTCGCCTGCGGTTGAGAGCAGGGTTTCTGGGTAACTGCGGCCCCGACGGGTTGCCTGTGGTTGAGAGCAGGGTTTCGGGTAACCGCGGCCCCGACGGGTCGCCTGCGGTTGAGAGCAGGGTTTCTGGGTAACCGCGGCCCCGAGGGGTCGCCTGCGGTTGAGAGCAGGGTTTCTGGGTAACCGCGGCCCCGAGGGGTCGCCTGCGGTTGAGAGCAGGGTTTCTGGGTAACCGCGGCCCCGAGGGGTCGCCTGCGGTTGAGAGCAGGGTTTCTGGGTAACCGCGGCCCCGACGGGTCGCCTGCGGTTGAGAGCAGGGTTTCTGGGTAACCGCGGCCCTGAGGGGTCGCCTGCGGTTGAGAGCAGGGTTTCTGGGTAACCGCGGCCCCGACGGGTCGCCTGCGGTTGAGAGCAGGGTTTCTGGGTAACCGCGGCCCCGAGGGGTCGCCTGCGGTTGAGAGCAGGGTTTCTGGGTAACTGTGTCCCCGAGGGGGAGGCAGAGTCCGCTGCAGCCACGCTGGCCGGGCCCGGGCGGCCGAACCTGTCTCCTGGTCCTGCACCTGGACCTGGGTGACGATGGATCCTTCTCTGCTCCAGGATGGAGAGATGCCACCTGCAGGGTGTGGAGCTGCAGAGACAAAATTCCAGATGGGTCTTCGGGAATCCCTGTAAGGATGACGGCCACGGCGGTCCTTCCGGGCAGCATGGGGACTCCTGCAGTCCCCTGACTGTCTTCTGCCCCCAGCAGCCTTGGGCCTTCCACCCCAGCTGCATCCCCAGGCACATGTGCACGGGGTCTGCCCTTCAGGACGGGGAGGGGCAGCTCCACCCCAGCTCCAGGGGTGTTTCTCCGGGAACTGGGAGGTCCTCGGGGCCAGTCCTGAGGACAGAGGGCCTGACCTCGGCCGGCAGCTCAGTGGGACCCCAGCCCTCCAGCTATGGTGTCTGGGGAGGAGGGCGTGGGTGGGGGTGTCCCGTGGGGACCGGATCTGAGGAGAGTGGCCCGGGATGAGGTGGGGCTCACCCGCCATCCCTCAACCACCTAGAGACCCCGTGTGCTGGGGCTGGGTGGGGGCACGGGACCGAGGGGACCCAGCCTGGGGGCTCTTGGCTGGCTGAGGCCTGACGCCCCCCCGGGGACGCCTGTCTCTAGCCCTGGGCGTGCTGGAGTACCGGGTGCTGGGCACCAACTTCAGGGACTACGCTATAGTGTTCACACAGCTGGAGGCCCAGGAGGAGGCCTTCAGCACGGTGGAGCTGTACAGTGAGTGCGCGGGGCTCCTCCTGCAGGGGTGTGGGCCTCCGCCCCCCTTGCACCAGCCTCATCCCAGCCAGAAACCACCCCCCGCCCCTGCGCCTGCCTCCCGGGTGCCCCCTCCCCACGCACAGCCCCTCCCTGCTCGGGTCCCAGCTGCAGGAGTGATCCCGCCTGGAGGGGGCGGGCGGGGGGCCGCATGTGGCGAAGAGCCTTGGGCTCAGAGGGTGCGGAGTCCCGCCTCTGCGGGTTCTCGGGGTGGGGTGGGGTGGGGTGGTGTGGGGGAGGCCCCCCACCCCCCGCCCTCAGTCCCGCCTGGCTCCCCTGCCTCCCCGGCAGGCCGGACGGCCCTAGCCAGTCAGGAGGCTCTGGGCCGCTTTGCCAAGTGGAGCCGGAGCCTGGGCTTCCTGCCGCAGCAGCAGGCCGAACTCCAGAGGGACTGTGAGTGTCGCCGGACGCCAGGGGGCTGCTTGCTGGCTTGGGGACCTTCCTGGCCTTGGGGAGTCAGGCCGAGCTCAGGGGGGCTTCAAGGGGTCACCTGCTCCCTGCCCAGCGTCAGGCCTGTGGGGTGGGCGGGACAGGCGGTGTGTGGGGCCCCGGGCGCCAGTGGGCGGGGGGCCGGCCATCCTCACCATGGCCCCTTTCCTCCCCAGTCACCTGCGCACACAAGGTCTTCCCGGTAAGTGGCTCCCCAAGCACCCCTCCCCTCCATGTGGCAGGAGAGGCTGGGGGCCCCGGGCCCCTCTCGTCTGGAGGCTCCCCCAAGGGCATGGCTGGGGGCCCTGGGGAGCCGATGCCTCTGCGGGCGAGTCCAGGGTTCCCGTGCTCCTCTTGGTTTCCAGTGAACGCGGCAGCCCCCAGGGGCCCGGAGGAGGCTGGCCGGACGCTGCCCTCCTCGCCCAGCCACCCAGGGGCTGGGTGGGGGCCGCCTGCTCCCAGGGGCTCTTGCTGCGGATTCAAATAAAGCAGTTCCACAAACCCTCCCGTGGTCTCTCGCGTCTGTCCACGCAGGGCCCTGGGCCGGAGACCGCTGCTCCTCCCGGGGGGTCACCCCGGGTCCTGGGCTGACAGGAGGCCCGTCCGCCTGAGCTGGAGCCAGACCCTGTGGTCTGGGTGACGTGTGGGCAGGGTGCTGGGCTAGGGCGCCCAGGGTGTGAGAGCTTGGCTTTTCCTGGGGCCTTGGGGCAGGGCGGGGGCCAGGGACCCCAGAGAGCCCGAGTCTGTCTGTCTTCCTGTGTCCAGAAGTCCTGGCAGGAGCAGGGGCCGTCGGGGAAGCCGGACCTGGAGCAGGGTGGGGGTCACCTCTCACTTGTGATGATATTGGGTGCACACACACACACAGAAGTATGTGAGCACACACGTGTACATACAAATATGTACACACATGCACACACGTGTGCACACACATGCATGTGTGCACACATGTCAGAACCTGCCAAGGGCGTCACACAGGCGGCCCCAGTGTCAGCACCAGCACTGTCCAAAGACCCCGCTTCCTGTGTGCACGCCCCATGGAGTGACTCAGTGTCCCGTCCAGGGTTTGTCCCCTCCCGGGGGTTGGGGGGCTAGGATAGGAGCACCACCAACCTCCCTGGCAGTTGCCACGGCTCCAGGGGACACTCGGTGATCCGAGGCCCAGAAGGTGACCTTGGGATCATCGAGGCCTCTGTCTTCTGGGGTGTCCCAAGCCGGCTCTGAGGGCCAAGGGCGGGGCTGGCCCTGCCTGCGGGTGGGAGGGCCCAAGACGCCTCCCCGTTGGCCCCCCAGGCCGGCTCACAGCTGCGGTCGGCTGACGCCCACGGCAGGGCTGGCAGGCTGGGCATTTAAGCGCGGCGTCTGGGCGGGCAGCTGAGGCTGGTGGTGAGGATGGAGCTGGGCTGGTGGCCGGCCCTGCTGGCCCTGCTGGCCCTGCTGCTGGGGCTGGGCGGGGGCTCCCGGGCACAGGAGCAGCTCCCCCGAGAGTCCCATAACCTCAACTGGAGCAAGGTGAGCCTCGTGCCCCAGTCCCCTTGCTGGGCGCCGGGGCCAGGCTGGGTGGGGGCAGCGGGCAGAGGGCCTCTGAAGCCCGGGACAGGCTGGCAGGGGGCTTGGGCACTGGCGTCTGCTGGCCCCGAGGGCCTCTTCTGGGGACAGGCTGGGGCTTCAAAACTCAACTGCTGTCCATGATCTGGAGCTCCGAGACAGGTACTGCCGGGTCACCTGGAGGTGCCCATGGGGGGAGGGGAGGCGGAGTGAGCAGGCGGGCCCTGGAATGATGAGACCGCAGCAGGCAGCAGGTTCCGGTGGGGGCGGCCATGGGTACAGGCTGAGCAGATGCGGGGGAGCCGGGCAGCGGGCTTCGTTGCAGGGGAGCCGGTGGGATGGGGGCCAGCTGGCGGAGAAGGCCCCGAGGTCCGCATGGGCCGGACGCTCTGACCCTGCGCCCCGGGCCCTGCGCCATGCCGCCTCAGGTCCCAGACCAGCTGGGCGTCCGCCTCCACGGCCTGGGAGGCAGCGGGGCACCCAGGCCAGTCCTGGACATGGGCTGGGCCGCAGGCAGGCGTCACCGGTCCTGTGGGTCCTCGGAGACCGGGGCTGGGCGGGACCAGTGTGGCAGGCCCTGCGCCCTCCCTGCAGTTCTCGGGCTTCTGGTACATCCTGGCCGTCGCCTCAGATGCCCAAGGGATGCTGCCGCGCGGAGGCCAGAGGAAGCTGGGCGCATCCGTAGTGCAGGTTCAGGAGGTGGGCCAGCTGAAGGTGGTGCTCACCTTGAACCGGTGCGTGGCCAGGGTGGGGGGCCCTGAGCCCAGGGAAAGGGAGGGGGCTGCTGGGGGGACCAGACCCAGGGTCAGTCTGGAGATCCCACAAGGACTGTCCCCAAACCCCCATCACTTCCTGCTGTCAAACTCAAGTGACTGCTTTTTTGAGAAGTCCCCACAGCCCACAGGGGTCTGGGGGCCAGGGGTGTTGGAGCATTTCCCCTGAGCAGTGGGACCGGCCCAGATCCCAGCTGGAAAGTCCCCAGACGGCAGAGCCCCGAGTGGTCTCCCAGGCCCCTAGCTGACAGCCCGCTCCCCCCACCCAGGTCCCGGGGGTGCCAGACACACTCGCTAATCCTGCGGAGAGACAGGAAGAAGGCGGTGTTCAGGAACACCTGTGGGTACCCATGGCGCCGCAGGGGCTGGGGGAGGGTCGTCCAGGGCTGCCTGAGCCCCCAGGACCCTGGATGGGACCCCTGACCGCATGGCCCCCAGCAGTCCTCCCCGGAGAACATGTGCCGGTGGGGACAGACGCCGGGTCACGCGGTCAGCCCACGGGCGCCCAGAGTTGGCTTGGCCGGCGTGCACCTGGGGGGCGGGCCTGGGGGTGGGGGCCTCGCTGCCCTTCCAGATGGCCCCTCGGTGGGGTGGTAGGGGCCCGGGGGCCTCTGGAAGGACCGCAGTGTTCAGGCGAGGGCGGCGACTCTGCGCATCCTCACTCCCAGTGAGGGGCGTGGAGGGCTTCCGCGTGATGGTCCCCGACTACAGCGCCAGCGTGGTCTACCTGCGCCTGGGCCGGGCTGGCCGGACCACCAGGACCCTGCTCCTCATCAGTGAGTCCAGGGGCCGCAGCCACGCGGACCCTGCAGGGTGGCCCCCTCCCGAGCCTCTCTGGGGACCCCCACTCCCGGCTGACGCTGCCCGTCACCCACCAGCGGCTGCGGTCCTCTGACCCGGAGCCCGGGGGTGTTCTGGTGGGGGGTGGTGCTGGGGGCCGGGGCGCCCCTCGACCGGGGGCTCTGACGCTGCGGCTCTGGTCCACACCCCCCACCCCACAGGCAGACAGCCCACGTGCAGCTTCCTGAGCATGAAAAAGTTCGTCGACGCGTGTGAGGCCCTGGAGCTCACCAGCCGTGTGGCTGTGCTCCCGAAAGACGGTGAGGTGTGGGCGGCACTGCTCTGGGGCCACCCCGAGCCGCCAGGGAGCTGGCCCCCGTGCGGGATGGAGGGACAGAGGGCGACGGGGCACTTTTAAAGGAAGTCACGGCCGCAGGCACGTGCCCATCCTGTCTCCCCAGGGCCCCCCGAGCACACGGGCGGCCGGGGCCGGATCCCCGCGGGGCGGCTGGGGGCCAGGGCCCGAGGCCCCAGGGGAGCTGCCGGGCAGACGCAGGCTCCCTTGGAGACGCCCAGCCCTCTCCTTCCCCCACAGCCTCCTGTGCGCACACCATCCTGCCGTGAGCCGGCTGCCCACCTGCTCCTCCCCCTGAGGCTCGGCTTGTGGTCCTCCCAGACCCCGGGAGCGAGTTCCAGATCGCAGGCTTCACACCCTGCTGCTTGTTGAGACGGGTCTGAGGACCCCAGGCCACTGATGGTGTGCGCCTCGGGCGGGGCTGGGCCCAGCAGGGTGGGGGTGGGGGTGCATGCTGACTGGGGGGTCCTGGGGCTGGGTCCTCTGGATGGCACGGCAGGCAGCTGCTGCCAGCCCTCATCGGCCGGGAAATAGACGGGGATGGTCCAGCGTGACGTGCTGTGTGCCTTCTCTGCCACCGCCCTCCATGTTCCGTGACATCCAACACTTCCCAGGAACCTGGGGAGAGAGCCCGGGGCAAAGAGGGAGACGTGACCTCTCACTGGGGAGGCCGATGCCGACACGGTCTCCTGGGTTCGGTTGTGGACCCTGAGGACTGTCCAGAGGTGCCAAGTGCAAACCGTGGCAGGTCGGGGAGGAGGGGTCAGAGAGAGCTTCTTGGAGGACGTGACATTTGAGCTGAGAAAGTTATGGTGGTGCTGGAGTGGGGAGGGCCACCCTGGAAGAGGAAACAGCCTGAAGACCCCCAGAGCAGCGGCATCGGTGGGCGCGGGGCCACTCGGAAGGGGCGGAGGTAGACGGGCTGCCGGGGTCCTGGGAGAGATGGGAGCCAGAGTGGAGCTCAGGGTGGGGGACGGCCGTTAGAGTGACAGGGTTATTTGGGGATGGGGGTTGTCGGCGTGGACGAATGAGCCTGCCTACGGAGAAAAGAAACAGGACTGAATCGGTCAGCTACTACCATGTATTTCTATTTATCATTATTTTGGCCGCTCCTCGACTTGCAGGATCTTAGTTCCCTGACCAGGGACTGGACCCAAGTCCAGGGCAAGTGAAAGCACCCGGGTCCTACCCACTGGACCGCCAGGGAACTCCCCCCCACACATGTGTTAGCATCCCCCCAGGGCTCAGCTTGAGACTGGGGGCACAGGCGGGCCGAGCGGTGGAACTCGGCTGGGTGTGCTCTGCCGGCTCTGGGGGGGCGGGAGATGGGCTGATCTGGGCCGGCTCAGCCCCGGGGGCTCCAGCCGCTGGGCTAACCGCAGGGCGTCTCTCTCGTGGCCTCGATGAGGGTGCACGGGGTGGGGCAGCGACTAGGAGTCCTCTGAAGGCTCGGGCCCGCCCAGCGTCACTAGCCTCCGCCCTCCGTCACAGCCTGGCCCCACTCCCCACCGCAGCAGCTCACGTTGGGGGTCTTCCCTCCGCCTGCCTCTCCGCTCCAGGGGCTTCCGTCGCACCCACATGGTCTGAGCCCTGCAGGGCCTCTTCTACACCATGCACCTCCTGGCCCGGCACTCGGCCTCCTGGGTGGACGGAGAGAGGAGGGCCGCCTGGGCGCCCCCATCCCGGAAGGAGGAAGGGTGGCCCCCTCTGGGGCTGGGGGTCCCCAGAGCGCTGGTTCTGAGGCCCCAGTGCCTTGTCCTTGGAGACACTTCTTTTTCACGTGCTCGCATGCTCGGCCACTCTGAAGGAGGCGTGGGCACACGCGCCGGGTGGACACAGCCCTCAGCCCATCTTCAGCCTGGAGGGTCAGCCCAAGGCCACCCGGCGCCGGGCTCAGCCGCGAGACCCTTGCAAGGCTTGGAGGGTTTTCTGTGCATTTACCTTCAGCGTTCTCCAGGTGCCCCAGGCACACCCACGGTTCCTCAGGAAACCTTTCTCTAGGCCCGGCGGTCAGAGTTTGGGAGTGCTCAGTCTCAAACATCTGAGGGGCCCTTATGTGAACCTTGAAGGCCTCAGTACTTCCCGCGGGCCAACAACAGCGTTGCGGGATCTTGGTCTGCTCTGCACCCTGAGGCGGGGTCTCACCGTGGCGCTGGGATTGGGTTTTGTTCCCTGTGTTTTAACAGGGATTTGATCCCTAGATTTGATCCCTGGCCAGCCTCAACCCTCCCGTGAGGGTTACTCTGGGATGAGAGCCCCTCAGGTCCTGGAGGACCCCTGCCCACCCCTCCCATGGGGGGCCGATTCCTCCGGGCGTCTCCACGAGGGCCCAGGTGCACGCGTGCACACACACACAACTCAGTCACTGACTGTCCTGCTGGGGGTCAGAGGGGTGTGCACACGGGGGGAGGGGAGAGGGGTGAGAAGGAGGAGGTTGTGGACGGAGATAATGACCCCTCAGCAACATGCCCAGCCCATAGCATGGGAAGGGGGTCGCCAGGGTGCCCACCAGGCCATCCCTAGAGAGGCCTGGGGGAGACAGGGTCTGGGGTCCTGCGTCCACCACTCTGGGCTCCAGGAGCTAGGATGAGGCTCCTCCCCAGGAAAGGACTCCCTGTAGAGGGGGTGCTTAGACGGGGTGGTCCCCGAGGCCCCGTAAGATTGCAGGAGAGTCTGCTGGCCTTGCTCCCCCGTCCGTGACCCACTGTGCTCTGAGTCCTTGGAAAAAGCTTCTGCTCCCTGAGGTCCTTCTGAGCAGGGGGCAGCCTGGGGATGTGGGGGACTGGAGACCCGGGGGTGCAGAAGGTGGCAGGGACTGGATCACCCATCGGGGATCAGGGATAAGACCCTCCTTGTTGGCCCCTGGGGGTCCTCATTTGGACCCCTGGTTGGGGTGATGAGGCCTCCGGAGTGACCTGGGCATGGGGACAGTGGAGGGGGAGGGGGCGAGGGAGGCGCAGAGGTCCCTCTCGCCCAGGAGCCGGCAGGCCCTGCTCCCTCCGGGGGGGGGGGGTGCCCTGGTGGAACCACCGCCTGGCTGAGCTGCTGTCACGTCCCGCCAGGCTCCTCTGTCCATGGGGCCTTTCGGGTGGTCCATGCCCGTGAGATGCCACGTGCTGTCAGACCCTCTCCCTGAAATGTCCACAATAGAGAATCCTCGGTGCTGGAGAGTCGACGGGTGGTTCCCGGGGGCGGGGTGGGACCCAGATGGACGTTTGGTGCTTGGTGAGCAGGGGGACCCTGTTTGGGATGACGGGGATGTCCTAAAAGTAGATTTTGCTGAAGGCTGCACAGCACCTCAGATGTACTAAAACTCACTGACTTGTTCACGTGGGATGAACAATATCATGGCATGAATAAACATCGCGGCGTGTAAAGTGTACGTAGAAAGCTGTTGTTAAAGTACATGTAACAGAGCAATCAGACCTGGCTGCGGAGTGATTCTGGCCCTTGTGGGAGGCAAAGGAAGGAGAGAGAACTTACTCGTACCTCCAGAACCAAACCAGCAGGTTTTACAGGCATGCTCCCACTGCTGGCGGCTGGAGCAGGGTTCAAGGTGAGGTGCGTCACCAGACTGCATCCGTCTCACTCTGTCTGGGGTGGTTTCTGATCACAACCTACAACATCCCCCATTCTCCCAAGCAGAGGAGACGGAACCCTGAAGCTTGAGCTGCAGAGAGAGCTCTGGGTTTCTTAGGATGGAAAGGTGGTGGTTGCTGAACTGGCCCTGGGAAGCTGGCGGTCCGCCTGGCTCGCTCTGGGGGTCAGTGTGGGGCTGCAGGTCAGCCCCCCGCTCCAGCCCACCCAGGACGGCCACCAGCTGATGCCGCGCTTGGACGCGGGTGCTGCCCGCTCAGGGGCGCGGTGAGCTGCAGCTGGAGGGAAGGTGGCGACGCTGGGAGCGAAGTCGCGCCTCCTCTGCGGTTGTAAAGGTCACTTGCTGTGGAGCCACTTCCTGTTGCTTTGTCCTCAGGCCGCTTCCTTGTGGCTTGAAACCAGCAGCGGCGCTGCCCTGGCTGACCTGTGCGGAGCCCTGCCCGCCCCGACCCCTCACTGCCTGGCGGCCCCGTCTCCCTCGGTGCCCACCCTGCGTCACCCCCCCACTGCCCTCGGTCCATGGTGTCGGATGCCCCAAACACTTGGCGTCTGAGCCAGCATCACGCTTCGTCTCACCCCGCTGAATCCACTGGGAGCGTGCCGGCTCGCATGGCTGGACCCTAAGCCCTGGGCAGCCTTCTGCGATGCCCTGGGTACCTGGGCGCTTTCCCCATCTCTCTCCAGGGTCTCGAACAATCACTCAGCCCAGGGATGGGTTACTGCAGACCCATCAGGCTCACCCTGGAGATGGTGGGGGGGTGCTGAGTCTGCCACCAGCACCCCAGCGGGGCTCTGACTCCCGGCACCAACACCGTCGCCTGCCCCGCGCCACATGCCGCAGCTCAGGACGCTGTCTCACTGGCCACTCAGGTGCCCGGGAAACCCCAAACAGCCATCTTCATCACTGACAGGGAACGGCCGGCCGCCCCAGGTGTTTGATCAGCCCAGATTAAACGTGCGTCTGGCGACAGCCCTGTCACAGTCCCGGGGGACAAGTGGGGGGAGAGATTTTAGGCAATTTCCACTTTTTCCTTGAAAGATACACAATTACAACGCAAACAATTTGCCTTCTATTTAATGTGAATAGCCTTTTTTTTTTTTTATTCTGATGACACAAAAATCAGAAAATGCTGAAAACTCAAAAGTCGGAGCTAAACAAATCCCTTTGTCCAGAGGGCAGGTTTTCTGCTGGTGCTTGGTATGTGGAGGGGGCATCCCGTGGGCAGTTCCAACCAAGGGCTTGCCAAACCCAAGAAGGAAAGAAGTGAGAAAGAGTTGCTGGGCGTCTGGGTGAGCCCCAGTGAGCCGGGGACGAGGGCCGCGCTGTGGGCAGCGTGGGGGTGAGGGTGGGCGACGGGGCACCCGGGTGGAGGCCACGTGGTGGGGACGAAGGGACAGCTCCTCGCAGAGCTGAGACCCCCACGCTGACTGCACCAGGGAGCCCGATGTGACCCCTGGGCGCTGATGACCCAGAGAGCCCCGCCTCCAGAAGCCCCGTTTCCCGGATCTGCTCGGGGACGTGGGTGTGAGGAGCCGAGGAGGCCCCCCTGGGCTTGCGGAGCGGAGGGGAGGCTGCAAACCTCCCAGGAACCACGTCCGCTGGCTTGGACCTGGCAGAGGAGACGGGAGGACGTGGGTCCAAGTGGCCTCCAGGCATTTCTGTCTGTTCACC